ATTTTCAAGATGTGGGAAATTATAAAACTATTGTAATATTGTAGAAATAAATAGAAAAAATTGCAAAAGAACAACATATCATTGTTCAACCTAACTATTAAAACCATCATTTATTCAATAATGTAGTTATTATATAGAACCGTTTTAAAATTCAAAATAAAATGGTGGATCGTTTTGCGCTATGGCTGTCTATTTTTACCCTGACTTCTGGGTTAAAAAGGATCAGATTCAGATTGAATGAAATTAGAATAATGGAAATGCATTTAAAAAAATCAAATATGTATTTCAAATATATTATAAAACAATTCTGGTAAATGTAGATTTTTACTATAAAATAATGCATTTTTATATTTCAACAAAACATGATTTAAATCAATTTTTAATTTCATGAAGCTTCTCTTGATGAAGATTTAAACTACCTGCGATTTTTTTAATTAAACAAATGAATTGTTCTCTAGCAGTATTAATCTATTCTATGAAAATTTCAAAATCCCCAATATAATTGAATTTATAATTCGAACAGTGAATCATGAAAAGAGAATTTTTATTAGATTTGGGTTTTGTATAACTATACATATTAGTATAGTACAAGTATTATGCAATAATGCGTGCGAAAGTAATAAATAAAGTGTTGTTTTGCAAAATGTTAATATTGAATAATCACTTTTGTATTTGGAAACGTATATTTACTCAAAAGGTTCTGAAATTAATTAAATGGTAAATCGTGTATACTTGCATTATTTCAAATATGCTGTATGTAGAGTGGTGTATTTTACTAAATTCAATATAAATATATTATTGACTGGTTATTCTCAAATAAATCTTTAGATTTCTGCCTGCTTTCTCATTAAAAGAAATAAGAAAGGATGAATAATTTTAGGTGAATGCAATTTAATTAATTCTTAGATTATGCCAATAATAATTTTGCAAGTGACCATTGATAAGCAATATTTTGCTGTTTTTTTTTTATATGAAATGGTTTCACAAAGAATAAAAAACAATTACTATGAAACACGAGTACATTAACTTGGTATAATTATGAAAAGTGGATTCAAAAAACACAAAAAGCACGAAGTCATTGTTTTCTTTGTACGGACTAGACGGAGAAAAATGAAGATTGTTGACATTTTATGCAGAATTAAAGTAATAAAATCTGAACAATAAACGTGAAAGAAAACCAAGGTCATATATATATATATATATATATATATATATAAATAAAAATATTTCTGGATAATTTATAGTATAAAAGAAAAAATATTGCATTTAGAAATATGCTGTATACAAGTGAAGAAGGCGGAAGAAAGTCATAAGAATCGAGGTTATTACTGGTTATATATCTTTTCCCCTTTACTTTCAAATATTGTTGTTAAACAAAGCTTAAATTTACTGGTTTTTGACACATCACTGGTGGACCTTTTTAACCCCGGACCTTCATATATTACTAACTATTCTACGATAAATTCTGGGAAATTATAACTGGGAAAATGTTATTCGGCAAAAGGTCCCGTGATCGATACCAAATTTAGGTTCTGAATTTAAATAACAAATAAAAAATAATATAGCCTAGAAAATGTTTTATAAATACCAATGACTGTATAATTATACAAATGAGATCTTTCAGAGCACCTTGAAAGAGAAAAATATGGTTTGTAAAAAAAGAGTGCTACAACGCCAAAAAGTGCATTTTCATATTAGCATTTACCCGTTTACTAACGTTTTTTATTTAAATAAAACTACAAACAAAACTACTTACTACAATTTAATCATAATCAAGTAATATTCATGTAAAATATCTTATTAAATGTAATTGAACATCATATGTCAAAAACGTTTGACATTTGACGTGTTAGCCAGCGTCCATTGTTTTATTTAAATTACGCTTCTACAAAAAAATTTAAATTCAAAATGTAAAGTTTCTACGCGATTTTGAAATCATATCTCACGTTTCCGACAACCTACTGATTAGCACGAATTTTTCAAGGCTAAGACTGGCCAAATCGGTTTAGCTGTTTTCGAGTTTTACCATATTATTTTATCGAGAGCTCCATTTTTATATATAAGAAGATATACATATACGTAGTAATGATTTTGAACGTATATTTTCATCACTTATTGATAATTAATACAATAAGTAAAACCACATGTAAGCCAATCGTTGGGTTCACTATGAAGTAGTTTTAAATGAGCAAATACTGGGTAATAAGATATAAAAAGAATTGATATAAAAGATATCAAAAATTGTATAAACTCAGAACAAAATTCGCCTGATTCATGCTGTATATAAATAGTCTAACTCTATTCTATATATGTAGAACACCCCGAAGCAAGGATTTAGAACCGTATCACACGTCGCCCCAGACAGTATAGATGGATAAAAACACATAGGTGTACACTATATGCGTTATTCATACAAACACCAGCAAACTAAAACCCAAACACGCTTAAAAATACATGTATACGTGTGGTGGATTTAAATTTAAAATATACATACGTTTCGATGTATAGTTACCCGGAATCCCACAAACAATAGATTATTCCGCACAGATACTTTGTGGGTCGAGTAGCGCAAAAATCTATGGTGTGAGGTGTTCTACAGATTTAAAGGCATCGAATCGGATACATCTGAATACGAAGGTACGGATTTTGAAGAATGTGCTTTGGAATATAAATAATAATTGTTTCAGTTCAGATGATTATTTTCAAAACTTATTATGTTTATGAATACTTCTTCATTAAGCATAAAAATGAGTATACCTCAGTGGTGAGCTCTATTTTGGTTCTAATTTTATAATTATTAACAGTGGCGTCGGAATCGTGTGGGCTGTGTGGGCTTGAGCCCACCCATGAATTTTGATAACCCATCAAAAATTTGCTTCCGACGGCACTGCTTAATAGCCTTAATAATTACTAATTGTGTTTGCTATAAGAAAAACGGATTGTAATTGTATATTCAGAAATAAAAAAAATATTTTGCAATTTCTACCTACTATTAGTAGTACCAAGTTAATTAAATTTTCTTGTGAACAAATGTGTGGATCAACGAACCCAATATCAAATCATCGTTGGATTGAAAATTAAGATACAATCATGAATCTCAATGTTTACTTTTAAAATGTTTACGCACGCTATTTATATTCGATTTTATAATTAATTAAAATTTTAATTTGAACAGATGTCTGCATTATTGTAAATATTATATATTGAAAGTATTGACAAAGACGATTTTAATATAATTGCTATAATGTTGCAAATGATCACTATACAACTACAATAAACGGATGATATTCTCAGGGTGATAAAGGTGTTATAAGAAAGTAGTTGTAAGTGGCATAATGCCTTAAGGCAAGTTATGTGAAGAAATTCTCAATATGTGCAGGAGTATACTTGGTCATTAGAAATGGAGATTTAGGTATTTAGATAAAATTTTCAACTATTCAATTGATAATTTTGAAATTAGTTATGAATTTTAATAGTCAATGAGTTTCTGGTAATAGTTACATCAGATGGCGTCTAAGTTTTCGAAATCAGTGCAGTTGACAATTTGAGAAAATATTAAGAAGAGGTCAAAACACCGGCCCAGATACATACACACATACAATTCTATCTAATTTAGTTTTACACAGTTCAGAATGGCTTGAAATGTCGAGGAAACAAAATTAGCAAGTCGGATTTTCTGGAAAACATGCTTTGCGCAAAGTTAAAAGAACTATTTTCATTCAAATTTCAAAGATAAAATATGGTATTTGCATGGAATTATGCCTGGAATATAAGTTATTTTATCATGTTTGCATGAATTTTGAAAGTCGTCAATAATTCAATTTAATGATTTTATATTTGAATTAATTAAACTTATTGTAGTTATATATTAGTACAAAAAATTGGAAATTCGAATTACTTGTTTTTATATGAGTAAATTTCAAGATTAAGTATTTTGTTAAGAATTAATTGAAATATTTTAATAGCTTTCCAGAAATGTATGTACATACTTAAGAAGTATATAATGCTTCTTCTTATGCATACTTAAAAAATATTATGGAAATTATATATTTCATAATTATTTGTATATTGATTTCCGATATTTCAAATTTGGTTAATTTTACGCAACGAATATATAAAAATTCATATTACTAGGAAAATATTGAAAAATATCGATGTCTATCGTTCATGACTATGTTTGAATTTTTAAATATATAATATTACACATTTTCGTATTTTGTTTAAATATATATATATATATATATATATATATATATATGTATATATATGAAAATATGTAATATTATATATAAAAATGCTAACATAGACATGAACTATAGACATCGACATTTTTAAATTCGTTTCTAGTACTGAAATTTTTTATATAATCGATGCTTAAAATTAATCTAAGTAGAAACATTGGATATCAATTTACAAATAATTATTGAAAATATAATATAATTTCCATAATATTTCATCCACAAAAAGAAACTTTATATACTTCTTAAGCATATACATACATTTCTGGAAAGCTATTAAAATATTTCAATTAAGAAATATCAATATACTTAATCTTGAAATTTATTCATATGAATACAAGATATTCCACTTTTTCAAAATATTAATATTTAAATTTTAGATACTGAAAATTATCTTATAGTTTGTTGCACAAATTAAAATAAATGCGAATATTTCATAAATCATTCTTGTTACCAGATTTCAGAACACGAAACATTTGCTATTAACAGCATCTATTTTTATCAAGAGCAATTTATTCTACACACATTGTATTTATAACATTTCACGAAGGCAGAAATATGTGTCAAAGCCTTATCATCGATACAATGCCTTTAGCGTATTTTCAAATCGTGATATATTCTCCGCCCTTCATAAATGGAATGACACATCGAAGGGCAGAACAAGGGACGACTAATACAAAAAATAGAACGAAAACTTAAAATACAAACAATGATACGTGCGTATATGACACTTGCCATGATATATATTCATGTCGGACTTACCCGGTTCTGGCGAAGTTGGCCCAGTAAATCAACACGGCCTCTGATAGTGCGAGCTCGCTTTTCGTATAGTTTCGCGGAAAATGGGAAAAGCCGTCCACTAGCGGAGCTCCGAAAACGTATGCTAACTCTTCGCCGTGTACTGAACCCATCCTCTGAAAATAAATGAAAGTTGATGAATTCAATTTTGGGTAACCTAATATAACATACTACCTTAATATAAGTTGACACTATAATGAATGCAGAAATAAATATATAAACAATTAAAATCTTGTGCTTGTAAAAGAGTAAAGAGGCACTAATGCCTTGATTGTCTCAGGAATTATCATAATAGACTAGTTATGTTACTGGTATATTTTGTTAAATAAATGTATAAGTTGGCATCACAAATAGTCAAAAATCTACTTTGCTGTTTGATCAAGCCATTTGAATATTATCATCTAAAAACGAACTTCCAAATGCCAGAATTTTTTATTACTTTTTCAAGTCGTAAACAGCAATCAGAATACCAAATCCTATGAGCTATTTGGCTCGATTAATTTACTCATACACATACATTCACACTTATAAACATACGTATTAAGTTATTGTGCTAAATTTTAATATATCAAATAGTTGTCACTTTTTTTAAATTACTATATTTGTTACAATTGCTTAATAATCAACATCTAGTATTAGTAATGAACAATTATTTAAATTTAGTAAAAATAGCACAAACTAAAGGATAGAATTTTCAATAAAATGATATCCGTAGTATGTTGATTTAATATCAAATAAAAGAAAATAATAATAAAATTAATAAGTAAAATGTTTAAAATTTCTGAATAATAAAAATAGTACTAGAAAAACAAAGAAGAATAAAAACAATTAGTAAAAGATAATAATAAATATAAAAAAATAATATTAGAAATAATAAGATAATAATAATATAATAAGTCACTTTATTGAGGTAATTTCTCCAAAGGTGTGGTAATGCTAATAGTCTCTTCTGGAAACTTATTTTTCAGTTTTCTTGAGATTAGTGTCGTGTTAAAAAATGACAACAAAAAGATACACTTATGATGATATTACTATTTGACATAGAAACAGTACAATCATTTGAAAGTTATGTTTTAGTAGCTAATGTCGTGTTAATTTCACGATCAAACAAGAAAGACATAGCCTTTTAGCATAACAGAACTTTTTTCTGCGGAAATTGGCCGCTAAATGATATTGTACATATATATATATATATATATATATATATATATATAAAATCAACAAGGGGACAACAGGGGCCAATTATCTTTTTCGCGCCAATATGTGTCTAAAATCTCAACTGCATTATTTGTTATAACTAATACAAAAAAATGTATTACTAGAAAACATCAGAACCAAAATTTCATACGCATATTAATTTATAATTTTATATATAAAATTATTCTTCAATGATGTAAGTAAATATACTCCTCACAAATGATTACTCAGATTTTGATAAATCTTTGTAAAGTTAAGTAATTTTTTAGGATGTATGTGATTATAAAAATAAAATATAAGTAATATTGTAGAAATAAATGGAAAAACTTGCAAAAAACAATATATCATTGTTTGACATTGAAAACATTTTGACATTGAAAAAATTTTTGAATTGTCATCTGTCCAAAATGTCGATTCTCTTGAATTCAGTTTATTCGAGCCTAGACAATATTAGTATTTTATATTTATATTTATTATTATGAATAAGAAAAATTTAATATCTAAAATCATATTGCCGAAAACCAGCTGAGATGTGCCAGCAATGGAAACAAATATAAGATACAATATATGTTTGGCAGATAAAATAATAAATAACACAATACGTCCAAAATTGCATATACATTATTTTTTAAACTTATTTAAGCATGTATTTTGCTTTACTTTACTAAATTATTTAAATACAAAGTTTTAATTTATATGTGCGAGCGATTATGATTTTCCTATTTATGCAATAGTCAATAAATAGTAGCACTCATACCATTGTTATTTGACATTGTGTACCATTTGGAGGTTAGGTTTTAGAAGTTAATAGTGTGTAAATCCCTTGATTGAGCAGCAACAGTTTTTTGACAATTTTCGATTACCATCATATACAATTATTCAACAAAAGAGACCGGTAACGAGATGTATCTATTTTATAAGAAAAACTGGCTCCTAATGACATTTTCTGTTTATGTAATATCTGACAATGAGCATATATTTTTCGCGCCAATAAATGTGTCAAAAAGGTTACTGTTAAATTTAAAGTATTGTTTTCCGTCACTATAAAATATCAGAATTAAATATTCACGATATTTTCAAAAAATCATTAATTTTTTTATAATTTTAATAGTCATATAATACACGTTTTAATTCTATTATGATATATTTTTAAAAAATAACAATTTAATTGATTAACGCTTGTAACATAGAAATATGTAATAATAAAACAAATGGAAATATAGATCACATCGCGCTCGAAGCAGTTTATAAAAATATCACAGCATTCAATTACAAACCTATTCCCTTATTTTGATTGAATGTACCAATCACTACACACCATATTATTGAATTTTCACTTTATTTTTATAAAAAAATATTTGTTGTTTCAATTGTATATATGAACTGTTAGGTAAACACAAGAACACTATATTTATTTGTATAATCGCACTAAACTGATAATCACACTAAACTAATAATCACCCTGCACTGATAAGACATTATGAACGGTAAATTACAACTGATTATATTTGAAACCCAGTCCGGCTTTTATACCCGGTCCTCAGTGTCGTGGAAAAATTTGATTGGTTGGTATACCAGTGGTTGTTATTAATGGTATTGCAACAATACCGTCCGAGCAATACCATTGGTTGCGAAAGACCTATTATTGGTTACATACCTTACTGCAAGGTCACACGAGGTCGTTAAAAATATCACAATAATTGTAATAGCTATTCTCGATACAATACTTATATATACAATATTTAATTTCTTTGTTGTTACTTTGGATGAAAATACAAAAATTCAAACATTCAGCATAATTTTACGTCATCTGATTTGATTTGGCATAAATTAATTAAGAAATAAATCATGCTTATCTAACATAACCTTAGTTTTAATAGAATTATTTTTTCTATTGGTGAGTGTAATACCTAATTATGTGTCTTTATGCATCGTAACTCATAGCTATTTATTTTTAGAATAATTACTGCTAATTATAATATTGCCATCAGTGATAAATAATAAGAAACTAGCTATTAGAAATGTAAAGATTTGAACTTATCAATAAAAATAAAAATGGTTAAAATGCAATTTAATTTTCTTTTTACACTAAGGATTTCTATTTTGATTAGGAGTTAAAACAAATTTAGAAATCAGTTGCACATATTATGTGAAATTACATAATAACTTAATAAAATATAATCTAATTTTTTTGAGAGAAGAAATGTCTACACTTTCATATTTATAAAAGAATAAGCGTTAATACTTGCTATAAAATATTTATTTCTCTCTGCATTTAAAACTTGCTCTTATTTATTTTCAGGTAATATAAGCACAGAAGATAGAGAAACTTGGTTTGCTTACTAATAAAACATTTTAACTAAATAAGACCTACAAAAGGATTTGGCTACCGTTTGACAAATATAAATTATGACAAAATAGTCATTGTTTATTATTATGTTTGATAATGATAAATGCAATGTAGAATGTCAATAAATCTGTACATTTAGATAGCAAGATTCTAGACTATGATATAAAAGTTATCATTTTTGAAGGTAAAAGTATAGTCAATCATATTTTACAATCTCATTTCAACGCTTTCATAAATTATACATAATGAATAATAAATATATTAACAACGAATACAACATTTTCAGATGATGTACAATATTTTATTGAGCGACGATGTTATAAATAGATAAGTAAACTTGCTTTTGTTAAAATATATTAAATGTATTAAATGTATTTTAAATGCAGGAGTCTAAGGGGTTCAAGTCTGCCACGGTTATGAGATAACATAAACAATATTCATGACATTTTTGTGTTTTATAAATCATCATACTTTTAATGCGGTTAAATATTTGTATCATTGTTTATATTTAATGAATAAATTCCCACACAAGCATTCTTTCTTAATAAATTTTGATAAATGTTCATTTCAGGTGACATATTGTTAAATAACTGACATTAATTTATGTTGTTATATTATTTCAACTTTAACTTTTCAAATATCTGTATATTATTTCAACATCAGTTATAAGTTTCATAATAATTAAAAAAAATTAGGTAAACTTGGCCAGGGTATGTATAAAATCCATCAGTCTTAAATCACCAAAATAATTTAAGTGTACTAACAACTAGTGAACTTTTGAATAACGGTGTTCCCATGAGGCTAAAAAAATGAATCAGTTATTTCAGATCTGCAAGTTTACAAATTCAAGGGTTTCAATATTTCAGATTTACTAAGTAACAAATTGAAGAGTTTGAATGTTCTTTATTTTAATACATATTGAGGTGTTCTTAGCATATTAACGCTCCGTCGGTCGGCGTGGTCTGGCCAGACTTTTTTCGACTTCAATTGAAAAAAAAAAATACTTCTAGTAGTCCTATCGACTTGAAATTTCTTGACTTTTTTTTATTAGCTGTCGATCAATGAAAAAATCAGGACGAAACAATGTACAGAAGGATAATTATGCGGATATTAACGTTTTTATACTTCGATCGGTCGGAGTGGTCTGTCTAGACCATCCATACATTTTGTATAAAATATACGCTTTTTAATTTATGCAAACCAGTATTTTGTCTTTTTTTGGTATTTTATGTTCAAACTGCATTTTCTATATTCTTTGCTATGTGTTGTAACGTGAATGTTAGTATTTTCAAACGAGAGTTCCTTGAAAACCTACCAAACTTATTGGTCATCGCAAACATTGAAAATCGGATGAGTAATGCGCACATTATCAACAATTTTTCTACCCGTACTGAGTTCGGAATTTTTTTGGCAAACCTGTAGTAATATTATATTTTCAACTTGAACTTTACAGCACATTTCAAGCACGACGCACCTCTTTGCGTTTTCATTTGAATTTCACATTCATTATGAAGGGGCCGAAAAAGAATAAATATTGTTTTTCATTGATATAAAACAGAAAAATATAAA